TGGGTGGGGGGGGGGGGGGGAGAGAGTTTGTCTGGCTACACTATAGCAGGGTTGCCACGCCTCAGCAAAGTTATACAACAAAACTACAAGTTGGTAGATAGGCGACAAGAACAAGATTTTTCCTACATTGAACAAATTATCTAACCTCTCCCCACCAAAGTTTACAAATTGATTAGACTAAAATTGGACTCAATAATTGGTCCCAGAAAAGACTATGAAGTGGACTACATACAAATTGACGACTATCCTGGTCTGGCGATGTACTGATGGTAATTATACATTTTAAACTATTCGATTTTGCATAGATGTAATCAGGTTGTATATGGAAAACCTAGTGATTCAATTTCTGAACAGTATGCAATGTTTTTATTACATACTTTGCACTTTTATGGGACGGGGGTAGTAGCAGGTAGAGACATTTTCTGTTATGTTTTGGGTTTTTTTTTTAAACAAAGAAGGCAGGCCCACAAAATCAAGGACAATCTTGGATCTTATGCTTCCAACTTTACCTCTCTTAATTTGAGACTGCCATCCACAAAGCTTTCTAGTCTCTACTTGAGCAGCAGTATATTCAGAGGAGAATATGCATTATATTAGCAGTGTACATGTAAAGGAAATGGGAGGGATAAATTATGAGTTTCTTTTTTCTTCTTTCAGGATTGTTAATTACAGAAATATGAACCCAGAAAGGCAAACTTTTTCCCAGGAATATCTGACAAATCAAGGAACAGCAGTAAAGTCCTACTACTGGCAGACACAGAGCTGTGCTAAATGCCCCTATCATATACGGACAGGTGAAGAAGAAAGAGTCCCTTATGTGGAATTTCATATGGCCTTTGGATTCCCATATGGGCTACTGAGTCCTCAAAACAAACATCTTATATTCTATGAACTGAGGAGCTTCTCTGGGACATAGGGTTACCAGGTGTCCAGTATTCACCTGAACAGTCCAGTATTTTCTGATTTTTTCCCTGGCCAGGATGCAAAAATGCTGGGCACCTGGCAACCCTACAAACACTCAGCACCTGGCCTTCCCCCCCCCCGAACCTCCCACTTGGAACCCCTTTTTTTGGCTTAAGAAGTCCTTGGAGTCCTTTTTGTTTTCCTCATCAACTTTGGTCTCCCCCCCCCTTTTTTCCCCTTCAACAGAATTTTTCCCCGTTTGCTGTTCCTATCCCTGCACTCACTCTTAAAGGGGACATGCTATTTTAATGCTGTTTTATTTTAATTTTTGGAGTCTTTTTTTCCCCCCTCAACTACTTTGGTCTCTCCCCCTCCCTTTTTCCCCCCCCTTCAACAGAATTTTTGGTGGGTGGGGGAGTGTTCGATATTTTTCTTTCAACCATCTGGCAACCCTACCCACCCAGCTATGCACTAGTCCAAAAGGGCCATGCAACCAACTGCCTTAAGTGTAACATCCATCCAGAGTCTATGTTGTTTGAGATGTGTGGTTATCTGCATGTAGTTACATACGATTATGACGGCATTGGGTATATAATTCTTTATTCAAACTATTCTCCTTGTAATGAGGCTGAGCACTGCTGCATAAGCAAGATCTACAACTTCTTGACAAAGTACCGAGACATTATCTTCTGTATTTATTTCTCTCAGCTTTATTACACTGAGGATGATTTCCCTGTGTCCATATGGAACTGTGAAGCTTTACGAAGCCTTGCCAGCTTATGGCCTTATGTGACTCTGAACCCATTATGTGGTAGGATCTGACATTCCCTCCTTTGCAATTTTGTGAGTGGTATGCCAGAAGCAACCCTTTACTATCCAGTTTTACCTGCAAGAGCGTTAGCTGATCATCAAAATTCACATACAATTAACAACATAACAGGAATGAAATCTTATTTCATGAAAGCATCTCCCCAGGCAACATATATGAAAATCAAAAAGATCGGTAGAATTTGCAGCAAATATTATTTTGCTCACCCACCTTCAGCAATGATGGATGGCAGATTGCCACCACTTATGACTGACTCACAGCCATTTGGTACCTTTTGCAAGCAAGTTTCTGCCCTTTGGGGGGCAATATTCAGATCCCAAACCTAACAATATTGTAAGGCATTTAAAAATGTCTAAGGGGTTATCTAATGATACCAGTCATTCACAAACCTTTTCCCATGGAAGACCGATTCAGATGGTAGAAATCACTGAACGACTTTTAAGTAGTAAGACTACAGATATCAAAGGGGGGAAAAGAAGTAAAGGCATCTCTTACGAAAGTTAATATACAAGCAGGGGGTCTAGATGGGTCAGAAAACTGATGTTGTGGATCTGGAAACTTTTACCTTTTGAATACTCATTTAAATCCAAACTAGGCCAGTAATGATGAAAATTCAGGACCCACTAATGACTTTTAGTGATGTACAAAAAATGGAATTGATGGGTCTCAATCCGATTTTCACCAGAGAGATATCCACATTATACAAGACACCAGCATAATTAATATCTTTATTAGAAGCATCAGCATATGGCAAAGATGAAATGGACAATATGGCCCAAACTCTACCTGGATCTGCAGAAATGATTCCTTCAGCTAAGAGTGGGCATAACCTGAGAAATACTATGCTCTCAGTACCGATCCTGTGAATAAAAAAGCCTTCACCCTCCAAGGCTGCTACCTCTCACCTCCCAGAAGTTCACATAGTATGATTTTTAAGTTATATTTAAAAATATATCAGAATTATATGAAACTTTTATATAAAGTTTGAAAAGGTAGTGCTGAAATTATATACAGTATGAAGCTTAAATTATTACAATACTGAAAGCACTATACAATTATTTGTTATTAATATTTAATGTTATAAAATACTGCAACTAAAGAAAAGTTGGTAACTCCACTTAGCTTCTCACTTTTCCATGCAACATAGCAACACAAATTCTGTATCCAAGAAATGCACACTATCCCCTCTGATGCTTGATACTGCAAGTTGCTGAGTACAGTAGACTTCCGATAATCCGGCACCCTTGGGACCCAGGTGGTGCCGGATTATCAGAAATGCCGGACTATCAGGAGGTACTCTGGCAGGGGTGGGTCTCGTCGGAGGAGAAGCGGGGGAGGAGGCAGAGGTGTGCCAAACCCTCCCTCCTGCTGCAGGGAGGCAGAGCCTGCGAGTGGTGGGAGAGGAGAGGCGGTGACAGGCAGGCAGCCGCATTCAGGACATTCTGGTCAGTTACAGTCATTCCGGCTGGATCCACAGACAACACGCAGTTAATGTAACTTTCCTCTCTACTGCCGGAAGGAGGGGGGGGCAGGGGAAGGTAGGGGTCGGTGGGAGAGGGACCCCTGCCCCCCCCGTCCTCCCCCCTCCCAGCAGTAGAGGGTTTTTTGCGCAAGCTCACTCACTTGATCTTTTGATCCTGGACTATCGGTCTACTGGTAAAAGTGATCTCTTGTGAGTTTCAGCAGCAGCCTGTCACCTGCGGATCTACCCGTTCCCACTGCCCCTCCCCCCCGGCAGTAGAGAGGAAAGTTACATTAACTGCGTGTCGGCTGTGGATCCAGCCGGAGTGACTGTAACTGACCAGAACGTCCTGAATGCGGCTGCTTTGGCACACCCTCGCCCCCTCCTCCTCCCCCTCTCCCACTGACCCCTACCTTCCCCTGTCCCCCCTCCTCCCGGCAGTAGAGAGGAAAGTTACATTAACTGCGTGTCTGCTGTGGATCCAGCTGCAGTTAATCAATTACTCTAACAACTTGAAGCAACTGCCGGAGCACTTCCGGGTTGCAGTTGGTGCCGGACCATCAGGCATACCGGACCACTGGATGCCGGACCACTGGAGTTTTACTGTACTTTCACTTCAGTTGTACAATATACTTGAATGAAGTCAAGCATGTTCTGTAGTTTGGGAAGGGTTAGGGTCTCAGTATCAGAACTCCCTAAGGATGGTAAGATGCGGTTAATGGCTAATCAAGTAGTGGACAGAATTTTTATCAACTACTTGATTAGCTAATAAAGAAAGGCAGCTCGGCCCAGTTCCAGCTTGCACCAGATCTGGGACCTACCCCCTCTGTGGCTCTGCAGTTTAAATGTACTAAGAGCCAGGTGGGCAGGCAGCCCAGCTCAGTCCCGGTTTAAGCCAGGTCTGGAACCTACCCCCACTGCAGCTCTGCATTTTAGATGCAGGAAGAGCCGGGCTGCTTATCCGCTTGGCTCTTAGTACATTGAGGCTATGTCTAAACTGCATCCCTTTTTCGATAAAAAGGATATAGTTTAGACATACCCTAAAATGGCAAAGCTGCAGCAGGAGTAGGTCCCAGACTTAGCGGGAGATGAGAATGAGCTTGGTTGCCTGCACGGCCAGAACAAAATAACCGGTAAACCTCGCTGTATGAGGAATAAGGGTTATTTCAGAAGAAGGGTTTTCTCCCAAAATAATCACGTCTACACAGCGTTTGTTATTTCAAAATAGGGTAATTCAAAATAGCGGCAGACTGCGATAATGCAAATGAAGCATGGGAAATTCAAATCCACGCTTCATTTGCAATTTCGCTCAGCTGCATTTGCATCCCTCTCTCAAAAGAGGGTGAAAGTGTAGACAGACCCTCAAAAAGGCAGCAAGGAGGGAGAAGCAAGTAGTCAACTAAATTAACCAATAAGCCTAGGCTTATCTGTTACTCAACTAGTCAACTACTTGCTTACATCCGTAGAACTCCCTGCTTCTATATCTTAACAACGTTAAGTGCTCCGGGGCCTACTTCAACTCCCACTGACATCACTTAATTGTATTTTTAAAACATGACAAAATACAGTTAAGGGAACATGTGATAAAATATTTTGAAAGATTATTATATATTGGCATTGGAAAAAGTTCAGAAAAGGTAAGCCCCTTATCATTTTGGTTGCCAATGGCTGCCATATGAGGAAAGATTAAAAAGACTGGAAAAGAAAGACTAAGCTTAGAAAAGAGAAGACTAAATTGGGATATAATAAAGTTTTATAAAATCATGACCAGTGTGGAGAAAGTAGATAAGGAAAAATTATGCACTTGCTCCCATAATGCAAGAAAGGTCACTGAATTAAACTGACAGATTTAAAACAAACAAAAGGAAGTGTTTCTTCACATAATGCAGTCAACCTGTGGTACTCCTTGCTAGATGTTGTGAAGACCAGGAGTTTAACAGGGTTTAAAAAAGAACTAGATAAATTCATGGGGGATAAGTCTATTTTTGGCTATTAGCCAGGGTGGACAGAAATAGTGCACTGAGCCTGTTTATCAGAAGCTGGGAATGAGTGACAAGGGAGAAATCACTTGATGATTACGTGTTCTGTTCATGCCCTCTGGGACACTTGGCATTGGCCAGTCAGAAGACAGACTACTGAGACAGATGGACCTTGGGTCTGACTCAGTCTCACTGTTCTTGTTATTAATATCGAGGGTTTTTTTTAAATGTACTTTTCACTATTTCTATATTACTTCACTCTCTGTACTTCCTCAGCTTGCACTGTAAAAGTCCATTTCACTTTCTCCTTGTATAGCATTAACCTAATGCTTTTGCGTTTGGATTCCCAGTACCACGGGACAACGTTTAATCTGCTAAAACAATGTATGTTTTGAGTATTATGCAAGTATCATGATTCGTAGTAGATTCTGCAAAATACTTTTTGTAAACTCAGATTTTTTACTCACCTTTACTAATGTCTATTTTACATACAATACTAATATAATTTATACTTCAATTCAATCTGATCTTCATAGGCCTCAAAGATCATTTAAAGATGTTTATAGCAATATAAAGAAGGGGATTACTATTTGCAGAAAAAAGCAGGAACCGGGAGTCCAGATGCTTGGGTTTTAGTCTCAGTTCTACCACTGATTCACCACGACCCACTCACTACCACCCACATTTCCAAAGGGGCCCCTTCTTGTGGGCACCTAATTTATTTAGGAGCCTGGTCTGGGACACGGTGGGTGAGCTTGCCAGCGAGGCTGAGCGTGCCCGCACCGAAAGGAGACGAGTGACACTGAAACCTGCCCACCTGGAGAAACCGCGGCAACCAGAGACATGGGGCAGCGCTCAACGGTTGAGCCTCCGTGCCTCAGTTTCCCCATCTAGAAAACGGGTCTGCGAGCGCGAGGCCTGCTCCCGGGGGCTAGGCGGGGAGTCCGCAGGGGAAGCGCTCGGGCCGGGAGCCCCGCTGACCGGCGCTGGGAGACAGACCTGGGGGGCGGCGCGCTCGCCCCTGAGCACGGAGGGGGGCAGGGGGCTCCCGGCGCGTCCCCGCGCCTCACACCCACGTGTGGGGCAGCGACTCAGCCGAGCGCGGCGGGGCCGGTAGCGGCGCGTCACACCCCGCCCGCCACGACCCACCCTACTGCGAGCGCCCGTTAGCGACGGGAGGCCGGTCCCATGGAAACGGGCCCCCTTCGGCCCAGGAGAGCACGTGACCACCCCCTGCCGACCAATCGCAACAACTCACCTGCTCCTCCCCGACCCTGCCTTCCTCCGCCCACTTGCCTGTTCTGCGTCTGCGCTCAAGGGCCCGCCGGCTGCCGCAGAGGAAAAAGGAAGTCCGTGTAGAACGCATGCGCAGAGAAGAAGGGGTGCGGTTTTAAAGTGCGCGTGCGTTAAAAAAAAAAAAGAGAGAGAGGCGGCATTACGACGCGCATGCGCTCACCCACGAGTGTCAAGCGCGAGCGGCTAAACCGTAGGAAGAGAAAGTCGCTCAAGAGCGACTTTTTCCTAGTGCGCATGATCGGAAGTGAGAGGCGGAAGGAGCGCTGCGCATGCGCGCTGCTGCTTGCTGCGGGCAGCAGGGGGCGGGCACCGCCCTGCGGAGGGGAGCGGGCGGGAGGCGCCGGCAGGTTCCGGGGCGATGGCGAAGAACACGGTGTCGTCTGCGCGCTTCCGCCGGGTGGACGTGGACGAG